ATGTTAAAATATTAAGATTATGTAATTTCCTTATGCTGTTAACCATCACCCAAGCCGAAATCAAGAGTCAGAGGCTCAACCCACTGAGCCACCCTTATGCTGTTAAGAGTTATAAAAGTTAAATTGTGCGGGCACCTGGGTGGCTTAGTCTGTTAAATGTCTGACTCTTGATTTTGGCTCGGGTCATGATCTCAGAGTCATGAAATTGAGCCCCCTGTTGGGCTCCACGGTGGACACAGAGCCTGCTTAAGGTTCTCTTTCCTTTCCCCCGGCCCCTCCCCACCCTGCTTGTGCATTCTCTCTCTCTCTCTCTCTCTCTAAAAATAAATAAGATATTTCAAAAAAAGTTAAATTGTAGAAGATGGAACTACTTACATCCATTAAGGATGCTGAGAAGAGGCTACATTTCTACTGTAAACGCATCTTGCTCTAACAAAAATGGCAAGAGAGGCTGAGTAAAGTGAGCCTGTTTATTATATAGAGATCAAATGTGTGACTTTGAGAAATGGATCAGAGAAAATCACTTGACTTTTAACACAGAGAGGAACTTAACTCTTGATTATAATGAGAACCTTAAACTATGACTCACCCTGAGTCATTTGTGTATAAATATAAAATAGGCAAAGAAATCAGAAAATTGGCCCCTCTTTCATAATCTCTGGAGACAAGTGATAGTAATTTTCTTAAAATTAAGTATGTTTTCTGGGTGTTTAGGTAGAGAGTAACGTTTCTATCCACTAGGATATCCGTTAAGTTAAAAGATATGTTCAGTTATTCAGACTGACTTTTTTTAAATCTTTTTTTTATTATGTTACGTTAATCACCATACATTACATCGTTAGTTTTTGATGTAGTGTTCCATGATTATTTGTGTATAACACCCAGTGCTCCATGCAGAACGTGCCCTCTTTAATACCCCATCACCAGGCTAACCCATCCTCCCATCCCACTCCCCTCTAGAACCCTCAGTTTGTTTTTCAGACTGACTTTAATTCGGAAATGTTTCTCTTTAAATGATATGTAAATATCTGCGACTGGTTTAGCAGCATGTGAGCTTATGAGATGATTTTGTGTTGTTCCAGGATAAATGCTGTGTCCAACGCTCAGGTGAGGGGGGACAGCTATGAAAGCGGCTGTTTGGGAAGAACAGGTAAAGGCACTTTGAGTTTTAAGTGCACTGGCAGAGAGGGATTTGTCAGCAGGAGAAAAAAGTCCTTTTATATAGGACTAGTTAGGATTACATAAAATTTTTTTTATTAACTTTGAAAAAAGTTTTGGTGTTATTTAAATCCTTAACGAAGTTAAAGTGACCGCCAGAAGTACTACTTTAGTCATGTTTTACTGCTCATAGTCTATAAGTAAAATGTTATTATTTAAAATCAGTGGCTCTTGGATTCCAGGTTACTCCTCCTGCAAAGCTAATGATGACTTTAGGACTTAATCAATTACTCAATTTAGTCATGGAATTACTTAGAAGCTCCCCTAGCCTAGTTTGCCAGGGTATTAGTTTCTCTAGCCCACAGAAAGGTGATTCTCCTTTTTTCTCTTCCCAAGTATGGCTTAACCCCTTTAATTGTTCATTTTTTTAAATCTTCATTCAGTTCATTGTTATAGCAGGTGTATGCAAATATGTGACTGTCTTTGATATGCTGCATACCATGTATTAGGTTAATAGTGTTTCCAATGTTAATGCATTCTTCGGACAGCTGCAGAAATGAGCGAAATCGTAAAGCCTATTCTTCATGCAGGTGCTCGAGTTTGGCTCTTCATTGGTTTCATGTTGATGTTTGGGTCACTTATTGCTTCCATGTGGATTCTTTTTGGTGCATATGTTACCCAAAGTAAGTATTTATCCTCTTTTATTTCATAGAGACTCAGATATGTCTTTTACATTTAGCTTAGTCCGTCAACTCCACCTGGAGTAAAATTTAGTGTAACTATTCACTTAGCTTGAAGATACGTAAGTTGTTTAATAAAACTTCTCCGTGGGGTCCTTGATTGCAGTGGGATAGCCTGGTTGTGGAATCTAAGCCACCGACAAGACCAGGTAACTGGCCATCTCTAGAGTGTCTGATTTCCTTCCTTACCCTGGACAGCCAGGCTCTATACCAGAGGTCTGTTTACTGAGGGTTGTAGGTGGTAAAGTGAGAAGCCTGTACAGATCTGCAGTACCTTATACGTAATTCTAAAATCCACAAAGTGCTGAAAGTCAGGTTTTTCATAATCAGCTTGGCAGCAAAACCTGACCGAAGTTGACAGGGGGCTCCTTATGGTCTTTATTCCATTGAATAAGTATTCGCGTATTTTCTTGCTGGAATGTTGGTTGTATTTGATTGTGGATGCTGGTCCAAACAGAGCTGGGGTGCTCTGTAATATTTATGCCCTGTGTTAACCATTCTTAAATGTGCAAATTTTTGAATTCCAAAACATACTTTGCCTCAAGGATTTCTGCTCACGGGTGTGAACCCCGATATCTTTCCACTGATACCTCCTCTCTCCAACCCAGCCTGGAATTTTTCAGGCATAGGTGCAGGGGAGGTTTTTAGGGGTAAGACTGAACATGTGCGTGTAACCTTCATGTAGAAACTTGATGCTCACGCCACTGAGTGGCGTGAGCTCTCAGTGCTCTGTTCTGAGCGGCTCCTCCAGGCACCATAGCTTTCCTCCAGGGTGGGGTGGAGAGGCAGCACCCAGTCCCAGAAGAACCCGTTTCTCTCCCTTCACTCCGAAGACAGGAGTCTATTTCAGATAACACGTAACACCACTTATTTATCTTCTGACCCCTCTACCCTCAGAATCTCTTTGTCACTCTGCCTAACTGTCATGTCTCCTTGTCCTTACCCACAGCTGACCTTTTAATACTCTTATAGGACCCCTTCAGTTCCTAGTTCAATCTTCGGAAACTTGTTTTTCACTTGGCACAAAATAAGTTCGTACAAGTGGTTGGCTACTGTTTAAATAATACTGCTCATCAAGTATATCTAAAATGTGTTATTTTAGGGGTGCTTGGCTGGCTCAGTCAGGAGGGTGTGCAACTCTTGACCTCAGGGTTGTGAGTTTGAGACCCCCACATTGGGTGTAATGATTACTTAAAAATAAATCAAGTGTTATTTTAGTTATTAAAAATACTAACGGAGTACACAGTTCTAGTATGAAGCTCGTGAAGGAAAGTGCTTTTTTTTTTTTGATTTTATTTATTTATTTGACAGAGAGAACACAAGCAGGGGGAGGGTCAGGCAGAGGGAGAGGAGAAGCAAGCTCCCCTCTGAGCAGGGAGCCCAATGCAGGACTCGATCCCAGGACTCCAGGATCATAACCTGAGCCGAGGGCAGATGCTTAACTGACTGAGCCACCCAGGCACCCCTGAAAGTGCTTTTTTAAAAACAGCTTTATTGAGATGTAATTTCCATTTCAAGTGTATATTTCAGTGTTTTTAGTATATTTAGAGTTATGCTACCATCACACAATCCAATTTTATTTTTTTAAAGATTTTATTTGAGAGAGAGCATATGAGTTGGGGGAGGGGCGGAGGGACAAGCAGGCTCCCCGCTGAGCATGGAGCCCTATACGGGGCTTGATCCCAGGACCTTGAGATCATGTTCTGAGCCGAAGTCAGACGCTTAACCAACTGAACCACCGAGGCACCTCACACAATCTACTTTTAGAACATTTTATTACCCCAAAAAGAAACCCCTTACCCATTAGCAGTCACTTCCCATTACCTTTCTTTAGCAGTCCGAGGCAGCCACTAAGCTACTTTCTGTCTTTGTAGATTTGCCTATTTCATATAAATGGAATCATATAGGGAAGTGTGTCTTAACCTCACTCTATCCCTGACTCTTAAGTGCTATTACTGATCTCCTTGGAAAGTCTGCTTAGTTACTTCAAGCAACAGGTGAAACTTTCTGGTTTCTCTTAAGAAAATGGGTATAAATTATCATTTCTGGAAGGTGCGTAGGGAAGTATTAACGTTTGTATATGTTGTGCACTCATTGGTTGTATTTTAATTTTTAAAGAACTAGTACACATTGAGAAATTTCTCAATTAGGGATTTCATCTTTGTATTCCTACAGCAATACTCATTATATATACTTTTCTGTTTATAAACTGAATATGCTTTTACTTCAGAGAGCATTTCTAACACATATTTCAGATCTTTTGCTGTACAGATTTTCTTGACCTGTTACTAATAATAATAGCTAACATTTATATAGCACTTTATGGGCCAAGTACTGTTCTAAGCACTATACGTGGTCATACATTCCTCACTCTCTGTGGGGTAGGTGCTGTTATAGTGCCCATTTTACCGATGAGGAAACTAAGGGCATAATGTTAAATAATTTGCCCATGGTCATACATTTAGTCACTTGGTAGAGTTAGGATTCATATCCGGGGATCTGTCTCAGACTTGGAGCTCTTGACCATGCTGTTGTATTGTTCGCTATGATATCGAAAGCTAAAAATGGAAGGTTTTTTTTCATCAGGTCTAGGATTTTTAATTGACAGTTAATAGTTTTATAAAAGTTAAAAATCCACAAAAATTTAAATAGTTTCCAATTTTTTTTTCTCTTCCTTTGAAGATAGTAACTTTCTTTGAGGGGAGATTCAGTGAAAAAACACGATGAAGAATTAAAATGATCCTTTCTGTATCTGTAAGATTTGCACAATAAAACTCCTGAATTCATGAAAGAAAATAAGTGTACAGACTATTAAATCATCAAGAATTTAATGTGTACCTTTCTAACATTTCATATTTCTATACAGCAGTTCCCCCCCCATCTTATCTGCGAGGGTTACGTACCAAGACCCCCATGGGCGTCTGAAACCGTGGATGGTACTGAACCCTAGCTATACTATGATTTCCCCATACATAAGGACCCGTGATAAAGTTTAAGTTGTAAATTAGGCACAAGAAGAGATTAACCACATGACTAATAATAAAATGGAACAATTATAATAGTATACTCTAATGAGTTCAAAATATCTTGTACTGTACTCACCCTTCTTGTTCCAGTGATGATGTGAGATGGTAACACGTCTGGGTGATGAGATGGAGGGAGGTGAGTGATGTAGGCATGTGACGTAGCCTTAGGTTACTGTTGACCTGACGATGATCCATCAGAAGGACGATCGTCTGCTTCTTCATGGTGGTTGACGGCGGATAAGTGAGACCTCGGGAGGCGAGACTGTGGATAAAGGGGAGAGCGCTGTACTGACCTCGGAAAGTAAGGGGAGGAGCTGCTGCTTCCTCAGCAGTTCTGGCTCAGCCACAAGCATAGCAATTACTGTAGACAAGAAAAGCTATGAAGTTCACCGTCCTTTTTCCAGAGTGAGGACAATCCTTTGTTTTGGGAGAATGAGATTGACATTTTCTTCCTTCAATTTTGTTATAGCTTTCTTAGCATTAATGAATAATAGCCGTATTTTATAACATATAGAGCGTGTCATTACGAGTGGCGCAAATACTTTGTCACTGCCATTTGCCTTGTGTAATCTTCTGATCCATTTCACTTTGTGCAGATACTGATGTTTATCCAGGACTGGCTGTGTTTTTTCAAAATGCACTTATATTTTTTAGGTAAGTTGCCTAATTTTTTTTTTTTTTTGGTGCAAAATGGTGGTTTATGAAGGCACGGGGACAGGATCCGTGGGCAGAGAGCTGCTGCCAGTTGCCCAATTTCTTAACCACACCTGAAACATTTACAGAAATGTCACTTTATTATAAGAGCAGCATATCGAATGTATAAATCACTTGAATTAGTTACAGTGTATAGAACTTCTTTGAAAAGGTGAAAATTCCACTCTTGTATAAGGGCATACATAAACTATTTCACTGGGGTCCTGCTATGAGCTAAGAGCTCAGCTGGATGGTTTGTATATGTCACCTTTTCAATTCCCATGTAATTGTCTTAAATACTGACTACTTACCAACCAGGTGGTGTTCCCGTTTTATAGGTGAGGAAATACGGCTCAGAGCCTACTTAATGACAAGTAATTGCAGAGTTGGGACTTGAACTCAGACTACTTCCATGGCCTGTTAAAACACTGTGTCAGGTACCTTTATTAAAAAAAGAAAAACAAAGAAATCAGAGTTAATACATATTATGCATGCCATATACAAAACCTGGTTAGGAAATTGGATTTTTTGATTACGTTTTTAAGAAAACTAAAAGTAAACATAAAAATAAATATTTGAAGTATTTTTTAGGGGCAGTCTTCTGAAAAAAAAAAAAACCCTAAAATGAAGCTCGTGGGGCGCCTACGTGGCTCAGTCAAGCATTTGGCTCTTGATCTCAGCTCCAGTCTTGATCTCAGGGTCATGAGTTTGAGCCCGACATTGGAGCCTACTAATAAAAATATTTTAAGCTCATATCCTATGCTTTTCAGAATGAACGTCTTTTAACGTAAAGATAAGTATTTTAGGCATCCATTTATAAATTTATACCCCCCCAACCTCACAAAATTATTAGAATATAAGCCTTGAAGAACTTTGTTTTTGTCACTGTTTTTAAGCAAGCTGATTATGGTGCTCCCTTTGGCAGCACATATATTAATCAATCTGATTATGATGTGCTATGATGTAATTTTCTGCATATTTATTCTTTTGGGGGGTTCATTGAGTTTCTTGGATCTGTATGTTTAGTTTTCATCAAATTTGGAATCTTTTCGCCATTACTTCTTCAAAGATTTTTTTTCTGTCCATCCCACTGTCCCTGGAGTCCAGTTACATGTATCCCGGTCTGCTTGAGTCATCCCACACCCACGAGTGCTTTGTTCTGTTTTTGTTTTTGTTTTCGTTTTCTCTCTGTGTATCATTTGGGATACTTTCTACTGTTATATCCTTTAAGGTCACTAGTCTCTTCTGCGGTGTCCGCAGTCATTCCTATCCAGTGTACCTGTCAATTCAGACATGTGCGTTTCATCTCCATTTGCTTGATTTTCCATATTTCTTAGCATGCTCATGTTCTCCTCCACCTTCTTGAGCATATGACATATGTTTATAACCATTTCAGGGGCCCTTGAATTGTGTCAGTTCTGAGCTCTTCCTGTTATTTCTACTTTGTCTTCATTTTCGGTCTCTTTCCTCCCATTTGCTTCTTTGCATGCAGCTGGTGGGGGGCTGGACTTTTTGGCATTCCTTTAAACATTTTTGAGCTTTGTTCTGGGTGCACTTAGGTCACTTGGGAACAGTTCGATCCTTTTGAGTCTTGCTTGTAAGCTTTGGAGGGCAGAACTAAGAGCAGCTCTAGGCTGGGACTGATGCGCCCCCTTACTAAGGCAGTGCCCTTCACATGCCGTGTATTCTGAGGTGTCCCACTCCACTTGGGAGACTGTGAAGTCTTCCCGGCCCTGTGACAGCTCTGGGAGTGGTTCCTTCCGTTTCCCTGGGTAGTTGCTTCGCATTCATCTACTGATCAGTACTCAGCAGAAGACTCAAGGGGAGCCTCCTGCGCATCTCCTGTGCTCCCTCTCTAGCTGTCTGTACTCTCCCTCCCAAACTCCAGCCCCTTGGGCCTCCCTGAACTCTCAGCTCCATTCCCTCAGTTTAGGGAGACTGCTGTGCTCAGCCCTCTTACTGCGCCGTGGCCTGGACACTTGTGGCTTTGAAAGATGTTTGACAGTTTCTGCTGTCTTGTGATCATGTTTCTTGGCATGTGACCAACAGCGTTCTGGGGGGATACAATTAAGTTTTCCTGAAGACATCTTAGGCACTGTTTATTTATTTTTAAAAAAGATTCTTATTTCTTTATTTATTTAACACAGAGAGAGAGTACAAGCAGGGGAAGCAGTGGAGGGAGAGGGAGAAGCAGATTTCTTGCCGAGCAGGGAGCCCAGTGTGGGGCTCGATTCCAGGACTCTGGGATCATGACCTGGGCCAAACAAAGGCAGATGCTTACCTGACTGAGCCACCCAGGAGCTCCAGGCACTGTTTAGAGATCAAATTGAAATTCAGATTCAGCCCTTGGTGGGGGTAGATGAGACCACATAATTGACAGTTGGACAAACAGAAACCTTGCACATAGAAAGGCCTGCGCTCATGGGGACTGGCTGTAACATCAGCTGTGTGCTCTGCTCAGAGCCTGGCAAGTTAACCAGCCAGCTGGGCGCCTCCTCTCAGTACCGGAGTGCAGCCACTCTGCCTCTGCTTCCTTTGCAACTGGCCCTCCCACCCACTGGTCCCCCACTTCTGAAGTTTCTTAAGGCTCCAATCCGGGCCTCTTTTCCTTCTAAAGTGAGCTCCTTTATGCTCAAGACTTCGATTACTGCATATATGCCGAGGAGTCACAGACGTCTGTCTCCACGTCTGAACCGTGTGTCTTGGGGGGCTGACATTTCAAATCCAGCACATCCAACATGCCCGCAGCTCAGTTTCTGGTCCCAGTGTACCCAACCTCTCTGCTCCTCTCCCACTCCCCTTCCCTGCCGTACTTCGCTGAAGTCATTCCCACTCTTCTTTTAGATCTCAGTTCCGCCACTTTCTCAGGAAGACCTTCTTGACCTCTCTAAACTCAGCGGATCCTTCTATTTCACTCCCTCGGCACCAGGTGCATTGCCTTGACAGCATTTTTTTTTTTTGCTTTTGGAATTTGTCTCCCTCAGGCTCTCAGCTCTATTCGTGAGCACCGTTGGCCTTGTTTTGACTCCTACATTCCTAGCACTTTGCTAGGAGCCTGCGGCCTTGCCAGGCCTCCTGGTACAGTAATTACATGGAAAATGTACAAAGAATTGCAGCATGGTCTGTTTTAAGATTCTTCAGTTGCTGTAGAAACCCAGAGTTAAAAGGGGCCCTAATGCTGTCACTATGAGAAATTCCCCTATTCCTTACAAGTTTCCTATCTAATAACTTTCCAGGCTTCAAGAAAGCATGTTTAATCAAGTTTAGCCATCAAGGTCAACAAATTGCTCTACAAAACAAGCACATTCAGACCAGCACCACTGAGGTCTTTATGTTTAGAATTTGATACAAAAGAACCAGGGAGGTACCTGTCAAAAGCATATTTAGAAAATGAATTCTTTGTTGCTCATTCCCATGCATTGTTTCCTCATGATTTATTTTCATATCTTTTAGCACTCTGATCTACAAATTCGGAAGAACTGAAGAGCTGTGGACCTGAGAGCACTTCTTAGATCACATTTCCTTTTGTTTTGTTATATTTGTAGATAAGTTTTTCTCTCTCAACATAATTTACACATTGCCAAATGGGATAGATTGTACATTGTTTTGTTTCTTTACACTTTTATGCTCTGAGTTTTGAAGTAGTTTTATGAAGTGTCTGTCCTTTTTTAAAATCATTGAATAGATTGTTAATATGTACATATATAAAACTATATAGATGGGATGATGAGTATCAGTTTTTTATTCCTGAAGACTTAAAGCTTGATCTATTCCCTGAGCCAGGGTTGTATCTTCATGTCATTTTAGAATTTTGGTTTTAGTATCTTTAGTTTTAGTATCTTTAATTTCTGAAGATGTGCAAAAAAAAAAAAAATATATATATATATAGCTCCATGCATCTGAAAGAAGCACTGAGCCATTAACAAGGGTATTTCAGCAAGTTGTAATTTATTTTGGCTTAAAGATGAGATTTTTTAAAAGGAAAAATGTTTGTTATGTATTAAAGAAATGGACTTTTATATGAAGATTTTTTAAATGCCTGAAGGACTAGTTTGAAAGCCTCTTTTAAAAACAATTTCTGTAACATGACTTTGAGAAGGGATAATACGTGATCAGGTACACTCAGTTTTATATGGTTAATGTGAAAAGGCTGTGAGGCAGCTCAGCAACATGCTTTTTGTAAAAACAGCTCCAACGATCTGTCTAATGGGATTATCTTGGCAGGCTGTTATTATCTGATGTTACAAAATTCAGCATCAAACAAGTTTGAGACAACTGCAGTTTAAAAGCATGAACCATATAACAAAAACTGGAATAATTAGTTTCAAGATAAAGCACTTCTTCCCAAAGGGAATTATTATGACCTAGTGAAAAATTAGGCGTTATCTCCACTTAGTTACCAACCGCAAGTGGCTCTTTGCACTACTAGCTCTCAAACTTTGGGTGAACTCTTCCTGCAAAATATATCTTTAACCCGAAAGTCCATAATTCCAGTTGAAACCTTCTTTTGCTGAGTTTGAAACACTCTGCACCATGTGTATTCCTACGAGAGGAGACGTCAAAGTGATGGTTGGGTCCTTGTTGCTACTTTTGCCTTCCTTTGTTATACAGGCTTTGTGTTGCACTTTTTTTCCTCCAGAGGGATTTTATAGCACCTTTTGTTGTAAGACAGAATAATAGCAATGGTATAAATATGTAGCTTCTAATGCAAGCCTTATCTTGCTTTACCCTCTCCGCTCCCTGAGAGGGTTTACTGTGCACAGAGTATGAAGCGATTGTGGAACACTGTGCCTTTGTCTAGACACCTTCTTGTTTAATTACTTCTTCCTTTGTTGTTGTTTTTCTCTCCAAATGTCAGTAAACTTTGTCTTGCCTCCAACAACTTGTAAGGCTAATTACTGGTGGCCACTCTCTTGTCACGTGTTGCAATAAATATTACTTCTCACACATCCTAATATTGTGAAATCAGTTGGAGAAAATGAACCATAAAAATTGGCTTGTTGTTCATTTTCAGTTATTCAAGTGGACCCGGTCACAGAAACAGTTTATCTTTGTGACATAAAGAGAAATACATTCTACTCAGACTTGTAAAATGCTGGTATGAAGGCTAGTGAAGGGCGTGCCGGAAGACCAACTGAAGTAGTGGCTGTTTTCTCCATCCTTGATTCTGCCTTGAATTTATTTTGTAACTGTGAGCAAATCACTTAATTTTCCTGTTTACTCACTTAAAAAGGGATGGGGGGAATAATGTTTGTATCCACCCCTACAGATATTATAAGAAAAGATGGAGCCCTTCATAATCATTTAAAAATACGTTGTGGGGGAGCGCCTGGGTGGCGCAGTCGGTTAAGCATCTGACTCTTGGTTTTGGCTCAGGTCATGATTTCAGGGTCCTGGGATCGAGCCCCGTGTCAGGCTTCACGCTCTGTGGCATCGGCTTT